TGCTTTTTAAGAGAGCCCAACGCGGGTTGTCCGCATCCTTTCACAGAGCGCGTGGGACTGCAGAGGCCATATTATCACTCAAAGGCCATAGCGCTGCCGGGGTTCGAACCCAGGCCGCCACGTGTTAGCCGAAAGCGCTAACCACTCAGCCATCGCACCCCTGGTCGTGAAACAGGAAGCCGGGAGTGATGGCAGCTTTATGGAACTTTTTGAACGCGCCGGCCCCTGTTTCCGCTTTATAACAGCGGAAATCTTCTGCCAACAGGCCGCCGGCGGTCGACCAATCAGCCCAGCGGCGTTGAGAGACCCAGAGTTCGCCTTTTTCAAAAGTTATCTTGAGTACCATGCATCGCTCTGTCTACGTTCTCCATTCCGCTCTACTGTCAACGTTCTCCGTTCCGCCATATACGTCCCGCATCGCTCACCCCAATGCTCGCTTTTCCCCGTGGGCGGAGGAAAACGGGAAAATGCAGAATGGTCTTTAATCATTATGTCATGACAAGCAGAGAAGCTTTTCTTTTCGGGGCGAACTTCTGTTTCGTTCACTTCTTTCTCGTGTACGTTCGCTCCGCCCCCCCCCCCCCCCCACCTCCATTCGGGCGCATCAAATAAAAAAATAAGCCTCTAAGTCACTATTTTATTTTTGCTTTGAAGCAGTGCAAAGGACGGTGTCCTCATTGCCCGCCTTTCTTTCACATTTTCGTTTCAGATGCACATAGGCGCACCTACATAACAGAACCAAAATTTGGAATGCCACGATTTCAACTATGACTAAAAGAACAGTCAGGGTAAACTATGTCTGAGTCTATGCAGATTGTTGCATGAACCATTTGTTGACCACGCTTAATTGGCTAGACTAAAACTGGTTTGACATCACTTCAAGAGCGGTGATATTCTAGTATATGAAATATATAAGCCGCCAGTCGCCACGGCTCGTAGACCTGAAGGCGTCGAAGAAATTATAAAAGGAAGACGGCGTAACCAACCCAGCCCAAAGCCTAAAGTGTCACAGGCAGCCCCTCTTGTGGGTTCCTGTCACGTTCATTAAATTAAAAGCGCCGTTGTATTCTGGGCCATAGCTTCCGATTTATTCCCGCTCAAATTATCAAGACGCAAATCAGGAGACCTCTCGACGCCTCGATGAAACTACACGGGCCCATTAAACACCCTCTTTTATGGGATTGGATTGCCGGAAGACTTAAATTGATACTAATGCTAAGCACTCAAACGATTATACCGGTTTGCACGGCACCTTAACCTGTCAAGTAATTCATGACCACCTCTAATCATACCTGGCCGCTTGGTACGCTTCCTGGGCAACACGCCCTCAAGAATAGCGCTAGGAATCGATCCGTGTGCCCGAAAATAACCACTGCAACTGCCAACGCTCCACAGAAGCCAGCTATGAATCGTTCGTGGGCTTCTGTTTGCATTAGACTTGTCCCTCCGATCGAAGCAGTTGATCTCACCATCATCTGTCCACGGTTGGAGCGTCGGCCTGCGCGCAGTGTTTATGGATGAAGGATCGCTTTGGACTCTAATGTACACACCCACTCAATTCCGTTTTCCGGCTGGCCAGTCTGAAAATGCGCCACCTTCTGCCTAGAACAACACCAGAGCTTGGGACAGAGCCCACTTGACACGTCTTCAAATCTTATTCTGCTGGCATGAACGGAGAATCCTGAAGAAGATAGAGGCTTTTGTAACTAAACAAATGGTAACTACTGAATACCACTGCATTACACACTTTGCAAGTTGTCTTCAATCGCAGCGTTACGAACGAAAACGCTGTCAAGGCAACACAGCTGCCGCGCAACTCCTGAGAGGAGGGAAAATATCAAATAAATCGGACGTAAGTCACATACTGCCGAACGTTGAACTACGAAAGGACCATTAAGTAGCCTCAGTATCAATAAGTCATTCATCCTTCGATGTGATGAGCCCTGCCAGGTTTTTTCCTCAAAACCAACCTACCAGCGAAAAATGCAAGAGAACGGCTAACTCTAACTTTTGCGTCTTGTCTTACCTCGCAACGCTGGCAGTTGAAGACACTGCCATATTTGAAAGCATGCCCAGGCTCGACAAAACCTGAATTCCATAAGATAGGCCCCTGAGAGGCAAAATGGGTACACCAGAAGAGTACACAAGAATGCAGGCCCGTAGCCAGGCTAATGCACTGAGTGCACGTGCATTTCCTGGGGGCTGGGGTGCATTTCCTGGGGCCTTGTTATGTGCAACCCCGGTATTTAATGTGTGTCTCTAAAGCTTGGACGGAGCCCCTCCTTGTGTTAGATGCGCAGCATTCGCAACGGAAAAGCTTTGGAGTCAGCACCTGGCTCACAACTTGTTACCATTCCCAAACCATGTATCGTTTGCTGCAGTCGTGTCTTGAGGAGGTTCCTGAGCTCTCGAGTTGTAAGCGGTCTCCTCTCCGCCTTAGAATGTTTCAAAGTTCCCTAACAACCAGGCGATGCGCGTGAGGTGGTAGCCGTAGCGACAGTGGAATGATATGTGCTGTTCAGGCGCATTCGATGACGATCGTTACTCACGTTCGATTTTTAATGGCAGATGGTTAGTTCTACTGCATGGAGACGCAGCCCGCTTCGGCTTTGGGTTCGCCAAGCCCCAATTTTCCTCCAGTGCTTCGAGTGTGGCCTCGGCTTTATGACATTTTTCACGACTGGGTGTGGCCTTGTGTCATCTGTAAAAACTTGGCTTCGGCCTCGTCTTAAAACGAAGCTTGAATAAGGGGTCTGGCTTCAGTTTCATGCGATTTTGAACTGCTGTCTTCGGCTTCGTCATGGTGACTTTTTCACTGCAGGTGTGGCTTTACTTCACAAAAGCGCAGTGCCTTTCCTATCACCCCAATGTACCTACCACACGTTTTTAAGAGACTGTGACACACGCATGGCTGAAAGCCAAAAACAGCCGGTCATTCCCAGGACCAATGGACACCTGACGATTGCTGGAACATATCCGTCAGAAACATTGCGTAAGCATACTAAATCAGAACGAAATCGATAGCCCGAACAGTTTTTTTCCATCTGCATTGCTAGTTATTGCTAGTTTTCATTGCTAGTTTTAGAGCATTGCTAGTTTTTAGTTTCTAGCATTGCTAGTTTTCCATCTCCCCTTGTTTCAACCACTCCGTAAAACACTGATAACATTTTCTGATCAACAAGAGTTTTAGCAGACGCGAAAATAGTTCTGGTTTCTCAAAACAGCGTTGCACGCTATATTCGGCTTCGGCTTTGGCCGTGATTTTAAAACGATAGGCTCGGGGCCCGGCTGCGCGTTTCCTCCGTCCAAACCCGCTGACTTCGCTTCCACTTTGAGCGTGAAAAGCTTAAAGCCTCGGGTTTCAGATTCGGCATTGCGTGTTTCACTATGGGAATTCCACGGGCATTCTTACACAGCCAATCTGGCAGCGACATGACGCCACAAATACACTACATGACGTAATCAAACGATAACGTATTGAGCAAGCTATTGGCTAAATAATGAACTTGTGTTATCTAAAGCAGTCCATAACACTTAAAAACAAACCAATATTTGGTTGAAATAGTTACATGTGAGCTTATTCCACCATATCTGGTGCTTGCCTCAATATCTTCAAATTAGGAACATTCTCTTTAAATTTCAAGTGTGTGGAAAAACTAATACACTCGCCATGTGTCCATCGATAGACAGCTTTGTCTAGCCTCGTTAAACGCACGTTGCAATCGCTGTTTACGTTGTTACTTAAGCTGCAAGTAGCATTGTGGCAGCCCATACAAAATAGATCATGTTTACACACAACGTTCACATTCTTGTTGGTTTACTGACTAATAAAACTCACAAGCTCGGTCTGGCTACGAACGTGCAACAGCAAACAGAAGGAGCATACCATATAAGTCAGGAGCACATGCTGCAGCGTTTTGCATATTGGTCTTGTCAGTAGGATGATTTACGACGCTGGATCAGCCATAGACGTAGATTCCATCTGCACGCAGATGAAATCATGCTCGGCGAATGGAGCAGATCCCGTTTGGAGACCGATGCCGGTAGTTAGCATTACTGCGTCACCCCTTAAATCAGTTCGTAGCCAGCAGCGCATTGATGTTTGGCGCCCGGGCATAATCAGACAGATATGACCTCGAACTGCCCGACTTTGTGCCTGGCAATGTGCAGCAGTTTTGATACACGAAATGGAGGGATTTCGAATGACCTTTGTTTCCGGCGATTGTCATCAACTCATCGGACAAAACGAGAAGCGCTTCGGTTGCTATGTCACAACAGACTAGCTACCGATCAATGCAGTTCCCATGCACAACTATCCCCACCAATTTTGTATCTCAAAAGGTCCTGTATTCAAGACTGATTTCGAACAACTCACATTCGACTTTTGCCGATGATTACCCTTCTCCTCTCTCCTTCGCCCTCTTTTTCTCTCGTCAGAATGAGTTGGCCTTGTCTTCGCGACGCCGGGCCGTTCAGGTCTAGCTCCGGTTTCGACTAACGTTCTTCCCTCAGCTTTTTGCGATTCGAACTTAGAGCTTCCCGTGTAAATCGAATGAGAGCCTTTTTCGCTCGGACCGCATGCTGCAGGAAAATCACGTTGCCGAGGAGTTTCAAGAAAACGCCTATCGATTACCGCAACACCACACTCGAACATTCATCTTCTTGTCGCTGAAAGCTGCATGAATTGGCCTCCAATGGCCGAGCTTCTAGAAAGTGTTAAAGCGGGTCCGAGCAGGCCGTCCAAGTTACAATTGACCATTTGATCATTCAAGTGAGGACAGCTTGACCTCCGCTCTTGTTCTTGATAAACCTTGCGTGGCCTTTACCAGGCGGGGGGGGGGGAGGGGGTGGGAGAATCCCGATGCGTGAAAGTCGCCCATGCACGTTCACGCACATGATGGGCACGTACGTCAAGGCGCATACAGGTTGGTTGTCAAGCGCTCCTGTTGCAGTGCTAACTGAATGAACTCAGTAGAAAGGTAAGCTGAATGACACTGCCCTTCCAGTCCGTAACTAGTATATATTTCGGACAGTATTACAACCACGCATTTCCCCGGCGGGTCAGCAACGGCACGCTCCGACTGCAACCACAAAAAGCAGCACACAGCCGGCATACCAGACTACGTATGCGCACCGATGCCTCTCCGGGGTTGGATGTTGGACGCCACAGGATCTTCCAATGGCGAAATTCGAATTCCAAGGCAACATTTCTAGCTACGCAAAAGTGCGTCACACACGCGGGAACCGTATGCACCACCATGGCCATCGGAGTCTGCACTGCGAACATCCACATACATCCATCAACGTCGGCACACATTCACAGCTGCGCCGCTAGACGCCGCACGTCATCACGCTCTACGGTGCAGCGGGATTCCCTCCTGCGCAGCGCCGCCAGCTCCATTACTTCCCGCCCAGCCAATCGGGCGCGTTCCGCTATTGATACGCGTTTCCGAGACAATAGCATGGAGCGGGAATATCCGGGAGCCAACCAGTTTCGTCACGCCGGAGAAGGTGAGTCGTCCCTGTCAGGTCTGCCCTGCGGCGTCGCGTCATACATGACGTGTCACGTGACGCGAGGCTGCGTGACGCTGCCGTGCGTCAATGGCACAACATGAGGCATGACCCGGTGGGATGACGGGCAGTTATCGAACCCCGCATTCACACCTCGACGGAACCAACACGCGCCACCCATCCCCTCCCCCTCTCCCGCCCTCGTCAGTTCGGAGAGAACGTACGGGGCTGGGAAGGAGGGGGGGGGGGGGGGGGGGCGTGACGGCACAGATGATAACCTTCCGTTCTGAGAGCGTGCGACAGGATGACGAAAATGCAAACACGTCAATTTGATCGCGCAGCAAACGGCACGGCGCCGTCACACCGCTCCCCGGCTTCCGCGGAGCAATCCGCGACCCTCCACTGAATATTCCAGCCGATACCGTGCCCTACACAACGTCGCACGTCTTACGTCGTTGTGAAATCCGCAGTCGTCACGTGCCGGCTGCGGATCGCTAACAGGCTCAAACAGTTATGTACAAAATAAGCCAGCACTAAATGCGCGTTTAGTGCTTCTCTGCCTCCAACAACTGCTTTTCGAATTCTTCTGTCTTTTTATGGTGATACTCCTTTTTGAAGGTCTCCAGTTCCTGAAAAATATAGCTTCTTTTAGCAAAAAAGGTACAAACTGAACAGGAAAAAGTCGCCTGGCAGATTTCGATGTTACGAGATGAAAACAGTCGCCTGAGAACGTTTTATTCAACAATGAGGGAGCGCAAATTAATTCGACTACACAGGATCTAATATAAACAACCGGCAAGAGCCAGTCACACGCCAGCTGATAATACCCGTCCCAAAGGATTTATGTGGGAAAACAACGCATCCATGCAAAACCAAAATCGCTTAACTAATTCAGCGCTACTTGTAGTATATTCTTTCCTGGTCAGTCATCGCCGCTTCATTTACTTTACATCGTCGCGGCGGAGGTCGCAGTGTCACAACGCCGTTAAGGACAAAATGTCTTAGATCTGCCTCCTGTCAGGGAACACGTTAGGTTCATCACCTGCCAGAGAATGCGTTAAATCCATCTCCTGTCAAGGAATGCATTAGGTCTATCTCCTGTCAGAGAAGCCTTAAATCCATCTCCTGTCAGGGAATGCGTTAGGTCCATCTCCCGTTACGGAATGCGTTAGGTTCATCTCCTGCCAGGAAATGCCGTAGGTTCATCTCCTGTCAGGGAAGGCGTTAGGTCCATCTCCTGTCAGGGAAGGCGTTAGGTCCATCTGTTGTCAGGGGAGGCGTTATGCCCATCTCCTGTCAGGGAAGGCGTTATGTCCATCTCCTGTCAGGGAAGGCGTTAAGTCCATCCCCTGTCAGGGAAGGGGTTATGCCCATCTCCTGTCAGGGAAGGCGTTATGTCCATCTCCTGTCAGGGAAGGCGTTAAGTCCATCCCCTGTCAGGGAAGGCGTTATGCCCATCTCCTGTCAGGGAAGGCGTTATGTCCATCTCCTGTCAGGGAAGGCGTTAAGTCCATCCCCTGTCAGGGAAGGCGTTAGGTCCATCTCCTGTCAGGGAAGGCGTCAGGTCCATCTCCTGTCGGGAAATACCGTAGGTCCATTTCGATAATTATAAGTCATGCTGGTCAAGACCAAACCTAACATATTATGTACCAGACATGTAACATGCTGACTACGGAATATCTTGGAACAACAGAATATGAACTGACGTAAGCAAACATCTAACGAGTTCACGGGATAAAACAAATTTGCAGCTTCCAGATTCGATAGCGGGACATGTAATCGAACATATCTCTCTAACCAGGCGAGGATCAGCCAATTTTGGACAATTTGCCGTTGCAATGCTGAATTGACAGAGCACTCAGGGTCTAACGGTAGCCAGCTATGGCAGCAGGCAACTGAATAAATCAAATGCTTACCTTCATCCCTCCCATCAATTTGCAAGCGAAACAACTACCATTTGTGAAAGGGTATCTTTAAGGAATCCTGATACATAATATTTGGGCGATGGTTTTCAGCAAACCAAATTAACATATAAAGCATCCAAAAATATTTTCCTCACGAAACACAACAAAGACCAGCGGTAAGAACGATGTGCGAACGGCCAGAGACGGATCCACATAGACGACCAGACCTCCCCAGTTTATAATAGGGCTCAACGGCTGGGAAATTTAGATTAAGGCAACATGGTTTACGCGCAATTACACAACGAGGTAGGCAAATTTATCAGCTTACGTCTCGGTGGGTTTTGGTAGATGGTGGGTAGAGCTGCTGCTTCGTCTGTATCACCCACTTCTCAAAGTACTCCGGCTGGTTGAAGTACCAGAAGAGGCCGACCGGGAAGGTCATGTACATGCCCATCTTGAAGACCTCCAGCTTCCATCCACCCATCGTGGGATCTGTGAGCGAGACACAAGTCCCGTGTCAGACCATCGCCACAGTGGGCGGAGGGCGACGGCGGCCACGGTGAGAGCGTGCCCGGCGCGCAACACTGCACCCGCACACGACATCGGCCACATGACTGGCGCAGTACCATGCTCTTGTTTTTGGCAGCGGTCAGCTGCGCTCAGCGAGGTGTTTTCTTTTTTGGCACACAGCTGCTTTTGGTTCCGAATGCATGTTTGAGGCTCTGCTTCGAGATTCAACCATGCCTTCTTTCAGTGGTAAATGCCCTTATAATAGCATATAGCACATCCTTCAATGCCCTACGTACTTATGCCCTACACAACTTAGAACAGTGAGGGACAATCCATCAACAAACGGGTTGACAGACTAGTCCATTACCACCTGGTTTATGACAAAATCTCTCACATACAATTATTCAAGTAATACTGCAACGTCCGAGCACAACTTTGAAAGGCCATGGAGACAACCGGACGGTTGAAAACGGCCATTCGGCCCTTTTTTACACAGGACAAAGCTCAATATCCGCTGCATTCTTTAATATTGCTGTCCTACGTGTATTCGGTACAAATGTGAAAATCAGACCGTTTAGACAAATGCGATAAGAAACGAGTCATTCGCATCACATTCTCAGATACCCTATGGTGCAAGTTACATAGTAACGGTAGCTGTGGAGAACTGTAGTGGCACTGTTCTGGTTCCAGTGTCCGTGTTATAAAAGGAGTTCTTCGCCTCGTTATCCTTCATTGCGATCCACGTATTTTAAATGTCAAACCACGATTTTGCTGCGTACTACGCCTAAATTGACAGTGAGTGTAGCGCTTTAGATTCACAACAATTAAGCGAACATGCTCGGAACTTGCAACCAATAAACATAGCTATTAACCCATTTTCTTAGGGGGGGGGGGTGGCTTGAACCCCCCTAAACCTCACTAACTAGGAAGCTCCACCCCAGCCTGTGTTGCATGAATGGTGCTCCATGGGTCCTGGCAATGTCTATCATATCCATGGTATGCTTTTCTTAAATCAGTGTTCTGCGAATGGACCGGAAACTGCTCAGCTCGGAACAGCGCAAAACGTAAAATTAAGGAAACCGAAAATGTTGTGTATGGTTCAAATGCAGTAAAAACCGTAGGGGCGCTTTCTTTGCCAAAGCTCGCTAAGTCATTGACCGCAGATTTGCTAGCGCTAGCCACGTCACCCTGACTTCAGCTGATTTCGACATACCAAAAATGCCACATTCCCAATGTGTTCCGAAAAAGTCCAGTCGCGTTTCCAGCCCAAAAACGCACAGCCCTTTAAACTTGTGTTGCCGCTGACAGACATTTTTAAATGACAGGTGGGGTCTGAACTACGTGTGGGCGTCTTTCTCCAGCTTGACATTTCAAATGCAGCCCAGAATAATGCTCACCGCGAAACACTAACTACTGAACCTCACCCGCGCTCTCGTAAAACTTGATGCCCTCCCGCGCATCAAGTCTTCCTGCAGTGTTTGTCCAGCCAAATTAAATTATGCCGGGCACATTGGGGGCCCTCCAGTCGGTAGTAAAACCCGAGGTACGTCATTTGACGTCACTCTGGCGTCAGATTAACTGTCGGATTGTGCTGTCACCGACCAGAGGCTCTAGAAAGTCATGACAAAACATGACAGTTGCTATTTTTAATGTTTTACAGGTTGTTATTCAAGAGTACCATAAACGGATTACCTCTTATCGCTCCGAGGCATGCACTGGCTTAGTGAGTTCTGCACGATCTGGGAGGCGGGAACTATGGGTATGGACAGAAGTGGGGGGGGGGGGGGGGGCTGAGCCTTCGAGGCATCCAACCGTCTTGTGTACGTTAATTGGAAAAATACAATGAATGACTATCAGCCCCCCGCAAGTTGGGGGGACTTCCAGTCACCTTGAATGAAAACCACGGGTTCACGTCATTCGTACCTACCGTGTACTATGAACATTACGATTATGTGCTGCATACAACACGACCCGGAAAACATGCTAAGTGTGCGACATGTTGAACATAAGTGAGGGTATGGTGAAAAAACGACTCTGGTAGGTTATGCGTGCAGCAGACGGCCCGTCCAAGGTCCGGTCTCGCCGGTAACTAGTTTATTATCTCATCGCCAAACCTCAGTGAATGCACTGTTAATGCATGACGGTCTTACGTCCCAGAACGCCCCCGAATTGATCTTCACACAAGATGTCATTCTGGTATGTCCCCGCTCATGTCATCATGGGCGGTCTGTCCCCGACGCACGGGTAATGGTGTAAAAGGCGCGATTCTACTCAAATATCCCCTCTGAGCATGGAAGCCCAGCGTACCGCATTGTGTCCGACGTTTCAAAAAGGCGTGTGAGGAAAACAGAAAATTCCTGAAACCATCTCAACTCTGCACAAAATCGGCACAATGCAATGATGCCAAACTTTTGGCACGAGCCGACACTGCAAATTACGAAAATGTAAGCGTGCCGGTATTTCACAGGCACCAAATCGTGAAAGAAAAACACAAGTTTGTTTTGGGCTCCAGAAAGGAATTGCCATAAACTACCAGATTTGCCAGATGGAGTTCAGAGCCCGACGCATTCAGCTCTGCCTGGTAACACTGCGGGTGCGGTTTGCATGCTCATGCCATGAATCCGTGGGCCTCACAGGACAATGAGACGCTGACTCGGGAAAACGTTGCGTTGAACAAACGTAATATAGCGTGGATAATTCATATAGTACGATGGTAATCATTCGCGAAAGACACGACCACCGACCCTTGAGCGACTTCTTCAGGATCTTAATGAGCCACACCGCCAAAGGTGGCGCTCTCAAACATACAACACGGATTCCTTGGGCTCCTCTCCTTTAAAAGACTGAGCAGCGGGATCAGACGGGAGATGGGGGCAGAAAGCACAGTCCGTGTGCAGCGCCGATAGCTGTCTAACAGTATGACGTATACCATAGACGCCTATGTGAATAGGTCATTAGGGAGTTCATGAAACGCCGGACGAGCATAAGGCGCTTCAGTGGAGGCCTGACTAAGGCAAGCAGGTAATTCTGAACAGTTGGGTGTTCACCAACACTTCATGAACAATTCACAGAGCACCATTGCTCTTTGTGTCCGTGTTAAACCAGTGGCGAAACGTACTGCTGATATCGCTGTAAAATACAATGCGGGTCGCACATGCGCGGGTACGACGGTTGGGGACAAGGGCAAGTGTGAACAGGTCCCGTTGTGTGGCGTAGTAACGGGCTGTTGTGTGGTGTCATGTCACGTGAATGTGGAGGGGGGGAGGGGGGGGGGAGGGGGAGATACTCTCCTTGGGTACCTCCTGCACATTGATGTCAATGTACGCAGTTCGAGAGCAGTTCACCGCTCGTTGGTGTCCGTTTCACGCTTTGCTCCCGGCCAATCAGTTATTCCCAAACACGCCCTGTTCGCAAAGCTTAATCGTGGTTGTCTATTAAATGAAATCAAACCATCCCCACCTTGGCATCTTCGTACCGACTTCATGTTTGAACCTGAATCGAATGATTCATATCGTACACTGAGCTTCCGCATCATGGGATAGAACCAACTGCACTAACTTCTCGCGCGTCGGTCATGGGGTTCTCAGCCGTTTCATATTTCGCATTTCGCATCATTTCGCAGTTCAGTCACAGTAGCTATTCAGTAGCGTGACGGAAGCGTGAGGAGCGTGACGGAAGCGTGAGGAGCGTGACGGCACGCTCGAGTAAGTGCCGACGGTCGCCGCGGCCAGCAATCGCCGTCAGCTTGAAAGGGGGGGGGGGGGAGAGAGGGAGGCCCTCGCGAACAGATTTGTTTCTGGGTTCAACAGGAGCGTGTGCTGAGCTGAAGCAAAACAGTGTAGTAGTACGCGCAATTTAGACCACATACCATAAGCCGCTAAGATCCAAAGATCTGCTTAAATCATGCCCATATTCGGTCATACCTGAACGTTGCAACTGATAAACTAGACGCCAATCGTCCACAACTTGACGAAGTATGTTGAGCGCTAGGCATGGGTGTAACCACTGCGATGGGAATAGCGGGGGACATGCCCCCCAATTTTTACAAAATGATGTTTATCCCTCAGATGTTGCTCATAGAACGCATTGTTGTGTCTTCCCCATCCAAAGTGCAATGCGTGTGCCAGGTTGTCCCTTCCATTCCAGATTCCAGATCGACTCCAACCCTGATTTGTTCCCTCCCCCCCCCCCCCCCATCAGAGCGATGGTCACGTCCATGGAGCCAGGCATTCAAACATGCAATCCTGGGTGACAATTTGTAACTCTGCAGATCATGCTGTGATGATCGTGCTGGATGCCTGTAATATGCATGCTAGAATGTTCCAGAACAACGTTTTTTTTTGCAAAGTATGGGTGCTCGGAGGCCGTCTGGTTCTGCGGTTCAAGGCAAGCTCATTGGTCGTCTTTGTCAAAATTCCTGCACGTTTATTGGGATAGAGTATAAGAGGACGAGAATAAGAGGTATATATAAGACGACGGGAAGGCTGAAGTGACGTCAAATTGCGTTAAAGAGACCGAACGTGCTCACAGCGCATTTATACACGCATCATTGATCCATCTTTGTTGCGATGATTCGTTTGACACCCATCTTGACTCCCTTTCACATTTGAATTATTGACATTGACACTCATCTTGTTTATAATATTAACATTTCTCCGTACTGTGTCACGTCCCCCCCCCCAAAAAAAAGTACAGAATATCCTTCGATCATCGGGCACCCCTGCTCGTCGTGATGGTAAACTACATGAAATCAGTGCGTTAAGGGGGCGCTAAGGACTTCGTTTCAAGCGTTCTTGCCGAACTTTATGTCTATTTTTGTAGCGCTTTGCTGGCCCGCTATGGGCGAAAATAATATAAATGACAAACTTTAAGCCGTTTGCGCACCCCCGAAACACATTAATTTTGACGAAAATGGAACTGTCAAACTCGTCTTGAACCAAAGAACCGAACAATCCCTGAGGACACATACTTTTTTGAAAAGGTGGGACAACCTGATGTACGTACACCACAGACACAAATGCCTACAAGTCCACCATGACCACACTGGCCGTTCCGATCACGCCAACTATACGGAAAAGAAAACAACGCCAGTGGTACGCACCACTGAACGGCGTACATCAGTCGCACACGCTGCAAGTATTAGCAAACACAACCACAGCACAGAAACGCTACCTGCTTTGTCACGTGATCATTTTTTATGCTGATTTTATCCAAAAGACCAGTTCTCTTACTATCATTCCGCTGAAATTTCTAGTCATTGCAATATTGTAAAATTAGCGACGGATCTGAAACTTCCAGTTTATACTTTCTGTCCACTTTATTTAGTAAGTCAAAGGTCAAACGTTTCGCGTCGTTCCGGTCCGGCATCTCCGCATGTGTTTCGAGCAACGGCAAATCTCGCGGGTCAGCCGAATTTCTCCTAGTTGCACAGTGGAAGAAAAAAAACCACTACTGAGTCCACCGCCGCAAGTGACCGCGAAATCCACCAATCCTAGAACCAATCTCCCCAAAACGCCGACTGGAGGTGGCAAAGGCGGGGTTTTACCCGGGTGCCAGTAGCTCCGATTGGTCGCGCGCCGAAGCTTGCATGCCACGCGCCGGCCGACTGACGACTACAGGCTCGACGGTGATTGGGAGCCCAGTCGCCCGCCGGCAGCGGTAGAACGAGGACGCCCTCCGCTAGCCAGCCGCCCTCCACCGCCACACAGAACTCAGGTGAGGTGGGGCACGCTCCAGACAGGCTCGGGGTGCCACGCCGCTCAGGTGAGATGCCGGAGCACACATCGGATAGTCCAGATGTGAGACGTCTGCCTTCGGGGCGATCGAGCGCAGAGGTGAGAGCGAGTCTGCAGCGCACCGAATCCAGGGGTAAGCGCAGAGGTGAGAGCGAGTCTGTAGCGCACCGAATCCTGGGTGACATCTAAGCCATAGCGAGGAGGCGGGCGGCAGCGCCCAGACTGCCTCTCAGACCGGGCAGACACTGCGCTACCACGCCTGAGCTCGCATGTGGAAAAGTCTGGCGAAGAGGGGACAGGCTGGTCTGCCGTCTCCTGTCAGGCAATGCTGGACAGTTGGCATGCCCGCTGTGGACCATCGGACATGAAAATAAGAGGCGATAGAGACGGGTCAGATGCCGTATTTTTCTGGTGCTGGGACGAGCCAGGTGCGACAAAACAGGTGAATCCACCGGATGAAGCACGACTTTTCGTCGGCACGTGGAAGCCGCGTTCACTTCCTTCTGGTAAGCCCATTCAGCCTGTGGCGCAGCGACCAATCACACAGGTGACGTCTGTGTCGAAACTCATTCCTCGCTTAGTTGGGATACGATGTAAGCCGTGGATGTTTGCGTGTTAGCGCCTAGCAATGGCCAACGCATGTTAACGGCCGTGTCTGTCGGGCAAATGGGCCGCTCTCCATCGCATGTGGATGGTGCGCTGGACGATGATGTTTTCGACCACGTAACTTTTCAATGGCCGTGCAATATGATCATACCCGCACGTGCTTTGATGAGTTCCATCGCTTCCACAGGCTGTATTTCCTGATCGAAGTTTTTGCTCATATTTTTTGGTTTACCGCGCCCGTGATGCGTCTGAGGCACTTTAACGTGCCGTCAGCGGTTGCTACCCCGTGAATGGCGCGTGCCTATGCAGAACGGAAGCCAGGAAGCGGGCATTCCGCCCTGGACTTTCCTTGACCGTCCGCAGTCCTGCGCCTCTCGGGCGTTACCAGTAAACATTTGGTCGCACCCGCTGGCCATTCCGGCCCCGTCACTGAGCCGCCGACATATCCCCTTTTCACGGATCCACCAATGACAACAGCAACACGCTGCCCCCCAGGGGTCAGAGCTTTAGCGGGAATCGAGCCCGGGTCCCACGTAGCGGTCAGCATGGTTTAGCAGCGGCTGTTCTGTCCCCTGGCCGGGTTATCCCAGGGCCCGCCAGCGCAGCCGGCCCGGCGTCCCCCGCGCAAGTGGCCCGTGCCGCGTGGGATCACGCAATATTTATCTTGGACGGATAAGGGATGCACTTTCGACTTCATCGGTATTTTGGGTTGGATGCGCCCTGACGCGTTCAGGGGGACGCGCAGCTGAGGGGTGTCGACACCCGTAGCATCAAGCGTCCGGCAACTTCTGTGGCATATAAGCCGCCGTTTGCTGAAACTCTACGTTACATCCGGTGCTTGGCTGACGTAACCAGCACACACAATGCCATTTCATTGGCAAGATCGCTTTGGTATCATACACCATATCCAAATTTGCCCCGAGTAAGGCGTCCAACCCATTCCACACAGCACCGGTCTACAACGTTTTGAGCCGTAATGTGCGCACCACATGGACCATTCCCATTACGGAAGCATCTATCATTATCAGCGATGTAATACAATCAGAGCCCAGTAAGCAGCGCACTGCACAGCGGCGCGATGCACAACACGGAGGGGAATGTCACCTTCGTTTGGGGCTGCCGACGAGCGCGTCACACTCCTGTCAGTGATATGATCGGCACTCAGTGACTCACTGACAAGCCCATCTGTCCATCAGAACTTTGCAGGCCAGGCATCCCCACAATCGAAAGCTGCCACTTTCAGAATGTCACGCCCACTGTCCGGTTTTCTTGCAGTCCGTGGCAACGCCAACGCGCTTGCCCCGCTATGTATCGCGATGTGCATGACAAGTTAGCTGTTAGCACAGCGCGGGTGTAGCTGATCATCCTTGGGCAAGGACCTTCTGAGTTGATACAACGTAAATCCCTGCCGAATAAAAGACTGTTCACGATACACTAGCTAAGACAACTGTTTAAGTGCATCGCAAAGACGAAGCCACAAACCGAGCACCCGAATGTTCTTTTTTGGAGCTGTACGGCGTGGGACAATGTTGTATTAAGATCGTCGGCACTATTTTGCACCGTTCGGTCCGCTTCACTGCGTGACAATACCACGTAATGGAGCCCTAGCCTTACGCTGCCAGCTGTTCTAATCTCAACAATGGTAAGCATGGTCACCCGGGTCACTGGTGAAGCGTTAGCTGAACAACCAGATTGCACCTGTAATTTGGCTGCTCGAATCTATCTGCTTCTTGTGGAACTAGTGTCTAATTATCTACAGCGAATTCAAAGAGAAAGTTTCGCATTGCAACTGCGGGCGTTTGCAGCCTTTTCGAAACATGCTGGAATTAATTGCATGATCCTGTGAAACATCTACACTATCTCACCCATCAGGTTACTGCGAGGTGCGCTAAATATACCCCACATGAGCAGACCCTTGTCGACACCAATATTCATGGGATAACAATGGAAGAGCGCCTCACTTTTTCATGTAAAAGAGCCGAGAAACCTATAAGCAAATCGGAGAACATTCCATACGCCAGAGCAAGGTCATCCTCTGTCACAAACTCGGCACAGGAGACGCAGGCTAATCCGAATCTCTTAGTCTCTCCTCACTGAGTAGACCTCTTTTGTGCGGCAGACGAACCCAGACACACAAGGCGCCACAGACTGCTAGACTGACAGGCTGTCTATCCAAGGCGTTTCCAACCTAGCCCGTCAATAGAAGTGGAATCTAGTTAACGATGCTTAAGCCGAGTGCATTAGAGTATCACAAGCGTTTGGAAGCCTGCTTCGCTGCGCTAATGTAAAATTTAGAAATATTAATTATCTGTCTTTTGTAGTTGAAATCACAGTTTTAGCTTGTCTAGGGGCCGAGAAATGGCGCAAAACGTAAGATTTGGCCCCAGGCGGCGCGATGCTGGCGGTGTCTGGCGGCCGCCGGCGGGAGAGGGCGCATCTGCGCGTCCTGCCCAACGTTCCAAACTTTCAGGAAAATGGAGATATAGATGGGTTGCCATCTATATCTCCCATCATCCCGTCTGCATTCCGATTCTCCTGGTTTTTCTTCGAAGAATAAGGCTATTACTACTGTGTCATCTATGTGAATGATGTTTCTCGCAGATGCACTGAACAACTTACGTTCCAAACTTTCCGTTACATTCGAGCTGATTCCGGCGGGTTGATTTGGTTTCGATATTTGCACATTTGAATTCAAATGCCTCGTCTATATGTGCCGAGTTCCTCAAATTGGAAAGACCTTTATGGTGTCATGAACGTAAAGAAGCCCCCAGGTAAAAGCATAAACTATTACTTTTGTTGACGGTTAGGAGCATATTGGGTTACGGTGAAATATTTGGTTTTGTCGAAGGAAGTTCGCCAATTTGGGCTACGCACATGAGCAAATTACACACCTCAACGGGATTTTTTGAACGTGCATACAAAGCCGCAGCACCTAAATCTAGATTTCACGCATCATTTTTCATCAGCCATCCAATTAGAACGCTGGAACATTCTTATAACGTTTTACTTTCGACGTGGGCCGCATGAGAGCCGGCACACCAGGCAGGCAATACCACTGCAACGCGGTATTCACAACGTAGCTATTGCGGAGGCCCTTGAAAAGTTGTCTTAAGCATCACAATACCTCGTTCTCCAACTAAACCCTCTCTCACCTTGTTCCGCGGCCCATATGTTCGCAGCCTTTTTCACGCATAAAACATAGCAGAAAACATGTTCAAAAAATGGTCTGAGTTCACGGTAACGTGTTTGATTAACCGCACAGATAGTTACGGCATGCTCCACTGATTCCCGTGGTGCCTTTCCTTTCGTCGGGAGTTCCCTCCTTGCGCTACCATAATTCTGCGCAGCTTTGGTCCCGGCAGAGGCCCGATGGGAGGCACGAAGGGCGTTCAGACATTGGGATTCCAAGCACTTCAAAGAGCTGAGCGTTCACGTTCGAAGTATTCCAAATTCAGACAAGTATTGGGATTCCGCCACTGATCGAAAACCGCACTCGGTATTCTGGCTTTCGGAAAAATTTACGTCCACTGGAAAAGCACGCGAATATGAACATTATATACATCTGGATATATATGTATATATATATATACATATATATATATATATATATACATATTACATATATATATATATATATATATATATTATATATATTATATATATATACTTAACATCACTGACAATTATGGGCCTTGGTAACAGGTCGTTCTCTTCGGCGTTCTTTTCCCCGAGTGATCAGGGCACATACTCCAGTGACAACACCTTCGAGCTCCAGAGGAATCGAAGGGGACGGCATCGCGAAGCTGCATACCCCGCATTCTGGGCTTCCATAGGGTCCGTGTTGAATACATTGATGCGTACAAAACGTGCACTGCTGAGGCCGAAAGGCCTGGATACCAAGCTAAGCATTGTGCGACTTGCGTGAAGAAATGCAGCAAGTTTAAACACTTTCATCAAAACGAAAACACCGGCCTCAGGTGTCAGTTAGATTTAAACACACGACGACAAAATGACAGGCTTGCAGGGCAGACTTTTTGACGATGTACTTCTTCTTAAATCAATAGCCCTTGAAACCACTACAGAATTGAACATTTACAAAAGCACAAAGGTGGCAATGTTTCGGCTGTCCGGGGCTTGTTTGGATTGAAAACCTACTTCAAGCATCACAGCTTTAGATTCATTTTATGTCAACAATCTTAGCGAATGCTCGTCAGTGAATGCTTGATGCTTCGAAATCCTTGATCCTTTGAAAAGCCAAATTGTTCGCAAAGGAAGGTGCTATTTTAAAGGTAGTGACGTCAATTTTTCATATCACTCATCGATATTTCCGAACACCATATTCCTGATTTTGGTACCGGCATATTCCTTGCGTCGGAAAACTCGGTGACTCGGACACATTCGAGTGCTCCGAATCAGATTGCTCCTCTTTAATTTATATGTTTACAAGGCATGACCATTTCAAATAAGGTAATCACCAGTTGATCGATGTCTGGCTTGCCACTTAAATCCGCCATCGTTGGCAATTGCTGAAGCCGTCTGGGCGTCGTCTGACACGTGACGTCACAGCAGGCGAGTCCCATCGAGGCCAGGTCAGCAGGCCACGGGCATTTATTACCTGTCTGATGCGGGTCATCTGGTAATTAGCAAACCCGATAACGAGGAAGGTCACGCGGAATACAGCACATCAAAACACTCCGCCTTCACGGTGAAATCAGGCCGGTTCTCGATAATCGGGGTCAGACACCCCGGGGGTCGGCGATTCCATTGCTTAAATCAGCGGGCCAGACATTGATGGCAGGCGGCGGCCGGCAGGCCTTGTAACGAGCGGGGGCCAATGGAGCGCACACCCACGCAAAGCTGATAATGCAAACTACTTCGCGTGAAGCCGACACCATATCGGTGTCGCTGCGCAGTTCATCGGCAGACACAGTCGATCTCGGGCTGGCGACGCTGCCTTTCACGAACCCCCTCGGTGCCCTCCGATTTAATGTCCATCTTGGCGGACAAGGAGTGCAGCTCTGTGACGGCTCCGCCAATAGGAGACGGCCAAACCGAAGGACTAGGTCTCTCAGCCAAAGTCATGACCAGGCGTCCACGTATTTGGGTCAGGGCATGTGTTGCAAAATCTGATGCCGAGAAATAAACACATCTTGATCTTCTCTCGTCAAGCCCACGCAGGAACAGAAGGATTTCGTTAGCCAAGACCATTTAGCCACTTGCAAGGCAACGAGCGAAAACAGTGGAATTTAAGAACATCGGAGGGGTCTGGCGCCCGAGAGCGGCCCAACGTTTCAAACAGGAAACGCAACCAGAGCGGAGCAAGATTAATGAGAATGTTCTACCTTCGAGGTACACGGCAAATGACAGTTCAGGGCCAAAAAGGGTACGCTGTTGATTGTCCCAACATTCGTTTCCGACAGACTGCGCAGGAGCTATCAAATTTTGGCACAAGGAAGATTCAGACACGTCCCAACCTTCCGCAGATCACGACAGTCATTGAATGAGATGACGCCACATATACAATCTAATCGCACCTGAGCTCAGGAAGGGGAGCGCTGTGACCATAACCGCGGACACATTCGTGAATATCGAAGCCTGGGCGATTCTAAGTGTGCTTCTTTCTGGCTATCTCAGTTAGGGGCCTCATATGAAGATGAACCATTCCCTTGCAGCGGGATTGAAATCGCTGATGGCGTGACATCCCAGAGATACCACCCAACTCTGCAGACATTACAAACCATTTGGCTGATTTGCCAGGTTTTGCAGCCGAATGCAGCTCAATTGTAATCGGTTCACGCAAACTCCGCTTGAGCCGGCAGCACGCATTCAGTCTACACGATCTCCGCCGTCCCTGCCAGACTGCGGCCCGTCTGACCAACCTCCGGTGACCGGGGCCCGTCTGACCGATCTCCGGTAGCCGAGGCCCGTCTGACCGATCTCCGGTAGCCGAGGCCCGTCTGACCAACCTCCGGTGACCGGGGCCCGTCTGACCAACCCTCCGGTAGCCGAGGCCCGTCTGACCAACCTCCGGTGGCCGGGGCCCGTCTGACCAACCTCCGATGACCGGAGCCCGTCTGACCAACCTCCGGTGGCCGGGGCCCGTCTGACTGACCTCCGGTGGCCGGGGCCCGTCTGACCAACCTCCGGTGGCCGGGGCCCGTCTGACTGACCTCCGGTGGCCGGGGCCCGTCTGACTGACCTCCGGTGGCCGGGGCCCGTCTGACCGGTCTCGGTTGTCCCCAGAATGCAGTCGGGCCTGCTGCGGTGTCTGCTGGCGGCCGTGTTGGCGGTGGTCTGCGCCTGCTTGGTCTTGCCCACCGGCCAGGCGCACCCGCTTCTTTCGGACCACCTGCTCGTGAGAAGCAAGCGCTCCTACCTCGACATCCAATGCCGCGGCGTGTTCAACAAGTCCGTGTACAGCAAGCTCAACGCCATCTGCAAGGACTGCTTTGAGCTGTACAAGGATCCAGAACTACATGGACTGTGTCGGTAAGCACTTGGTGCTGCGCTATGGCTGCAACTCGTGTTTTGAACTTTGCTAAATTTGTTTTCCTTTGTGTCGACATCTTTGTCTCGAACGACTTCTTCGGTGTGAGATTCACGCCCGCTGAATTGCATTTTACCTTTGAATGGCATTCATTCGTCTTTTGGTTCTGAGCTGCAAACGGCACGGTTCGTTTCCTCACGAACTCCTGGGAACGGACGCCTCCCTTCCGTCGCTTCACTCGCACACCGCTCAGTCCTCCTCCGACAATCTCTCGCACGCGCATGGACGCCTGTTCCCTTGCCTAAGCACCAGAGCCAGCACGTTTATTTTCTTTCTCTGTGCGCGGCGGCAGTCAGGACTGCTTCGGCAGCCGCTACTTCGAAGGCTGCGTCGAGGCATTGCAGCTGACCGGCCAACGGGCTACGTTCAGCCGCTGGATCCGGACGCTGCGAGGCAACCGTTTCCAGTGACGGGGTCCACACTCCGCATACAGGTGAGCGACGCTTCACCCCAGACGGCAGAAGCGCTCAAACCGGGTTGCCGCCAGGTGGGCGACGCCACTCCCTCATGTCACTGGAACGGCCGGCGACATCTCACCCCGGCTGAGTTTGCCATCCGTCGCCGGCTCAGACAGCGAAGGCGTCCGAAACGCCGCTGGCAAGTCATTCGTAGCTTCTAGAGACGGCACGGGTCCACAACCTGAGAATCCAAGCCAGACGGGGCGAGCGAAGCCAGTGTGACTCAGCGCGTCAGCGGACGGACGGGGGGGGGGGGGGGCTCAGAGGGCACCGAGGCCGAGCGTGAGAAGTGCCGGGGGGAACACCGGCTGGTGAACCGGCGCCGGCGTTGAATAACGCCCGGACCCAGCGGCACGGGCCGGCCGGGTTCGTCGGCGCGCTGTCATGTGCCGGCTGTGGCGAGCGGAGGGGAGGGCGGCGGTGCCGTCACACCAGGTGTTGTAGGCACAGACACGGCGCGGCCCGCCCGGCGACAGCGCTAATGTCAAACCACATGTATGCCGACAAGGCGGCGACCGCATCGCCCGGATCGCGGCCACCCGGGCGAGGACATTGGCGGCGACGGGCGCGATGCGCCCCGGAGGTCGCCGACGGTCACGCGCGCGGCGCGAGTCAGAGCCATTGAGTACGCGCCCGCCTGACGTCACAGCCGTGACTGGCGGATCGGAGCCGGCGCGAGGAAGCGGAGGGGTGGCCGCGTCACGCCGGAAACTGACGCCGCCGTGCGGGCCACCGCGCGACTGTCCAAACGAGCCCGGCCTCCTGGCCAAACACGGACAGGGTTTCCGGGGCCCGACGGAGGCATCCGTTGAAAAGCGTCCAGCTCAACTGCCATCATCTCGGCAGTTTCGACCAGTCATGCAACGCTGCGCTTGAATCAAAAAACGCAATCTAGCGACGAGTCATTTCGACGAGTGAGACGCAGTTCGCAGGATGTGACGCACTCTAACAACGAATGACGGTGAATGTGACTTCCGAAACCAGCCTCGCGGGCATTTCATCGCTAACAAATAGTAGCTATGATATATATATATATATATATATATATATATATATATATATATATATATATATATATATGATCGGATGAAAACTGGCACATTGGGCTGGACGGAATTGGACTATTTCGCGTGCAATTCGGTGACAGATTATCGCCATTTTCAGGTCGGAGTGCTTCACGACAGACTATTTCAAGGGCTGTCTGCAGGCGCTGGTGATTGAAGACCAGGCCGAGGAGTTGGAGGAGGAGATTCGGCGCCTCAGCGGCCGAAAATGAGCCTGCGCCGCCATACGCGAACACGGTCGAACGGCAGGAAGCATCTAGTCACGGCCTTGGTCGGCATTGGCAGCTGGACGGACCATGCTCCCGTTGCTGTTCCATGGAATCTATGAACAGCCTGAGCGTCAAAACCTCCGATGTGATGGATCTCATGGATGTATCTGAAAGCCAGTATTTATTTTATGTATGTGTGTTTTGAGGTATCTGTTTTAGTCACTAGTTTGTCGACTGCAGCTGTGTTTGAGCAGAGAAGTAGCCGATGTGTGACATACGCATGGGCCGCTGCTTAAACCACGGTCTAAGCCCTATCTAGTAATCCTAGGCACGTGGCCTATGTTGCGCGAGAATAAGAACCCCGACGTCGTGGGCTCTCATAGGAGAATGTCTCATCGCCCAGTTCGGAGAAATATCATCGCCTTTGAAGGGGCTGGAACCCACGTTACCCACTGAAGACCAACTGGTCGTTGCTATTCAAAGTTCGGTGCTTCACCCAGAAGCGAAGCGATTGTGACAGGAAATGTGTGCTCTATGTTCGGAAGGCTCTTCTTCATACCCATGGGACCCAAAGTTAGAAATATACTGACTTGAACTGAATGGCTTTACTTTGGCGTGTCCCGGGATGGCCATCGAAAAGCAAAGGTCATGGTATTCAATGTATCCTGTCAACGTGCAGAAACATCTACCAATTGACCTTTTACCTGTATAAAACGTGTGTGTGCGGGCGGCAAACCAATTCAGTGAGTGGTGTTAAATTGTTTCAAAGGCCAGTAAGAAGTCGAGCATCCCAGTGTCCTGCTGCAAACCAAGAAGGCACTGTAAAATGCTACTCTCAACTACCACATGACTGCGCAGTCATGTCTCGCTTGCGCCAGAGAACCCCACGCACGGTGATGCGTCGGACGCGGTAGTGGAAATAAGATTGTCCTACTGCGCGATGCAGATGCTACCCCGCAAACACGCCACAGACATAAACATGGAGTTCACAAGCTAGACGACGACAGCTATCCACATGCTGATCAAACCAGAGAACTTCCGATGTTTACATTCCCGGAAAGCACGCTATCCATACCGCGACATGTTCGGATTTCCACGCGCCTTGCGACGAGCCAGAACACAGAAATGGCGTCCAAGTCATGTCACGCCTTCAAAAGGAGACCAAGCAGCAACTCCTAATAGTATTTGCTCCCGGATGTGCCCGTCATTCAGGCTTGGGTCAGAGTGACGCAACGAACGGCAAAAGGTCAAACTCAGCGGAACATGAATCACTGCTAGGCCCGTAAAGCGCGGCTCGTTCGGTCGTTCTCTGGTGAACAGCATGGGGACATTAACGAAACAACTAACATTTGTTACGCACTTGGCTAGGTGACCCGACGCAACCGAAAACTTATATGTATCGGCTTTTCAAAGCACAATATGGCCTTTGACGATGTGCGTTTTAGAGCCAACTGACAGTCAGGGACAGTTGGCATCCGGAGGGCCGGTTATGGCGAATGACGCGTACGACCTACGCAGTCTGCATGCTCTGATCCCAACCACCAACAAGGCCACACCGATGACCGCCTGATGGCATTCATTAAGACACGGTATGAGTTCCGCTAGGGAGGAATTCCCCGCGCCGGTCAGGGTGTGCCACCCAGACGGACGACTCGTTTGGAATGCAAACGGGCGTACGGCTGGAGCCCCCGGACACCCCAGGTTTCCGCCGACACAGCCGACGCCACTACCACCCAGCACCGAGAGTCTGAAGGCCACACCACGCCGCTACCACCTAGCACTGAGAGTCTGCAGGCCACACCACGCCACTACCACCCAGCACCGAGAGTCTGAAGGCCACACCACGCCGCTACCACCTAGCACTGAGAGTCTGCAGGCCACACCACGCCACTACCACCCAGCACCGAGAGTATGCAGGCCACATCACGCCACTACCACCCAGCACCGAGAGTCTGCAGGCTACATCAAGCCACTACCACCCAGCACCGATAGTCTGCAGGCCACATCACGCCCACTAACCACCCAGCACCGATAGTCTGCAGGCCACATCACGCCACTACCACCCAGCACCGATAGTCTGCAGGCCACATCACGCCACTACCACCCAGCACCGGGAGTCCGCAGGCCACATCACGCCACTACCACCCAGCACCGGGAGTCTGCAGGCCACATCACGCCACTACCACCCAGCACCGATAGTCCTGAAGGCCACATCACGCCGTAACGCACCAGTCCAATGGATCAGCCGTGCTTGCGCAGCCGCTGTGAACCGCTGCAAGGATTGAATTGGGCTCGACTAGCACGTGACGTGGATGAAAAATACGAAACATATTGATGAAGGGCTCGCGGAGTGCTTTTCTGAAACAGGGCCAGTGCTGACTGAAGTTGATCCCCTCTCTATCGTGTTTATAAAGCAGCATGAGCCGACTCATGATCCGCGAGGCAGTGTGCAAGCAGAGAACGAATACATCACGGATGGGACATCAACGCTTACGCCTTCTTATTCCCCACAACACTCCTGCACAAATGTCTTCGGAGTGGACCCTATGTTGCGAGGCAAAAACAATAATGCACCGTTTTTATCGGTGGATTCGCAATTTTTATCCTCGCTAAATAGGATTTACAAGATGCTAATGATAAGGCAGGCATTACTTCAAATCGCAATTACTTTTTGTCACGTCCAACCTCATTGGATTGATTGTTGGAGGGCTGGCTGCGCAGCTCTTGCAAAATTGCCACGATCCGTGCAGCGCGCGCTTCACAAGATTATCTTTGTGCACAGATGCGAGAAAAAACCAACGCCATTTTGTCGATTACAGCGCGAAAAAGTCTAGTGCGAGAAATCTAGCACAGTGAAGCAGGGCGCGGAACCTAGCTCTGAGGTCTGCCAAACACTAAGACGAAAATCTGCCCAAGTAAAAACTAGTGTCACTACACCACAATTCAGCCCCGCTTCATGCCACATCACGCCACTGCCACCCAGCAGGATTCGGATTCAAGGACGAGAAAAGGAGCTAGAGAACCCGAAGTGCAGGCACGGAATAACTTGGAAAGATGCGTAGGAAACACAGGCCTGCGACATCCACCATGGATAAAAAGGCATAAAAGTGGTCCAAAACCACGAAAGGCATTGCTTAACCCTAGATGTGATCGATACAAGTCAGGGGTTCCGCGCTGGCCCATGGAGAGACGCCTCCTGATAGGTTTGCCGTCGATCAGCCAGCCAGTTTTCGAGGGGATGACGTGTGACACGGAGATGGTGCCGTCCGGATGGACGGTGACGCCCGCTACGGGACGCTGGCCGCCGATGCACTGATGCCATGCACCGGCACTGATCAGTACTTATGCGGGGCAAGTGCCCCAAATAACCCATTTTGTGTGAGAAAAGGACCAACATGAAAAATATTCATGCACATATATCACTTCAGTGCTCTGGACCTAAGCCCGGTGCTCGGACCTCTGGCTCGGACCTTCAATGCTCTGGACCTAAGCCCGGTGCTCGGACCTCTGGCTCGGACCTTCAATGCTCTGGACCTAAGCCCGGTGCTCGGACCTCTGGCTCGGACCTTCAATGCTCTGGACCTAATTATGAGCTATCATTTGCGAGGAAACGATGAGCATCGCGTAGTGGATTCAGTTACCATTTTCCAACAATTTGTCATTTAGCAATCGTTTACTCCAAAACATCGTTTAACCTAGCACCTCTTGATAGCCTGAAGGCGGCCAAATGCCGGCATAAAACTTTTCAGCCATAATACCTAAAAACGATGAGCTTAGGGCTTTCCTTGCCTTTAAGAAACTTGATATTTTTAACACTTTTCCCACTTTAATCCCATAACCATCGTCGTTAAGGGCTTCATTTCCGTTCCAACACTCAGGCACAAATCAAATTAACGGAAAATCGGCTCAAAACATTCGTAACCGTCAGTTCACCATCTCTACAACTCCCTTCCGTCCTTTCCGAAAAGAGTTCCTATGAGTGGAACCACCGATACCACGGGTCATCGTTGGGAGGAGAAGTGGGCCCGTCCACCGTACAGCCAGGTAGCAATTCAACATCTTGGCGGTATCGCGAGAATCGCGATGCACGCTCCTTGCGACAACGCGTGTATCGCGATGCGCGCTCCTTGCGACAACGCGTGTATCGCGATGCACGCTCCTTGCGACAACGCGTGCATCGCGATGCGCGCTCCTTGCGACAACGCGTGTATCGCGATGCACGCTCCTTGCGACAACGCGTGCATCGCGATGCGCGCTCCTTGCGACAACGCGTGTATCGCGATGCACGCTCCTTGCGACGGCGCGTGCATCGCGATGCGCGCTCCTTGCGACAACGCGTGTATCGCGATGCACGCTCCTTGGGACAACGCGTGTATTGCGTTGTCGCAAGGAGCAGGGAGCCCCACTAGGTCTGCCAAAATTCCTGCCCTCTTCTGAGGTCCAACAAAAGATCGCACACAAGCGCCGCCAATACTTGCGTTCACCGCCATCCTTAATGGTGAAAATTCCCCTCGAGAACGCGGAGACCACACTAGAGAGACCGCATCATAACATCTGTCGTTGGAGCTTTACGCCGCACTCAGCTGCTGAGGCTCTGTAGCGTCACCAGTCTCTCACTCTGTTGAGAAGGGCGGGAATTGAGGGGAATCCCACCCGGTATCTCCAGTTTACTGAACGCACAGCTTAATTTGATAAAATGCACCCAGCGTACACAACCGCCCACAAATCCCGGATGTGCTAGTATTCCCCGCCTACTTTTGGTCTTATGGGATCTACCTCAGCAGACCCAGAGATCGCAGCAGACGGATCTCCGCCCTGGCAGACCAAACTTAGCCTCGGGCAAAACAACAAACCGAAGCCGCATCTCGTTCGAACCGACGCTTCCTTCGCACGACGGCTGGTGGCACGATGGTAGCGTCACCTATAACTGGTTCACGCCCGAAGCGCCATCTTTTGGGAAGTGGGATCAAGGGAAAAGCGGGGGGAAGGTTGCATGATGAAAGCACGATGCACAAAGTACATATATTATCATTCACAGACAAACTTACACAAGGTATCAGGTCGCATAGAAGGATGCACACAAAAGCTCGCACAAAGAAGTTCAACATTTGTAAAAACCAACAAAATCAATACATCAAAGCATGACCAGATGAACTGGAACAACCTTCAAAATTCTGGCATTGTTTCATTGTAACACAAAATGAAATTTAATAAAATGTGGCAATCAAATTGTCACTTGGTTGCAACACTGCAAAAATATTTCTGTAGTCCAGCTATCTGCCACATGCTTTTACCTGAATGCACACAGGACAATGCTGCCAAAAAAATGATTCACTGCATGGGATCCTTACAAGGCAGTAATGCTGTGAATCTAGCCCATTCCTGCCAAAAAAATTAGCTGGGGTAAATTGTGATGAATTGGCAGATAATTTGTGCTTGAAAAATTTTGGGGGTATTTTTGCTTGAGGTTAAATTAACAACATTGTAATTTCTTGAAGCACAGACCCCCTCTGTAAACTTGTGGTGACCCTTCAGCAATTTTGGGCCACCAAGTTAATAGCCTACACATGCTGACATTGTTACCAGGATGCCGGACATGATGTTTTCCATTTAAACATAGACCAGACCATTTGGGGTATAGTGGGTAGGTGCCTTTGAAATAAATGAGCCTTGTGACTGGTAGTAACAGTGGACTAGGACATGATTTGACATGATAATATACAAACAATTTCAAAGGGCATGTATGGCAGGGTGTCTTCTACTAAGGAAAATCATTGTACCCATCGTCGTTTTAGTGACTGTAATAATCTCAAACATATCATGCCTCCTTCGAATTTCAAAACTGATGCGGCCCCGAGCCGCGTCACGCACCGCTGACTCCCACGCCGTTCCGCGTGGCGTTGTAATACAATATTTGCGCCCAAGAACTGTACAAAATGTACGGGCAAGTAAACGTTCGTCATGTTTAAGGCAGGACAACCATAACCTAACTGCGAACCATAAAAATATTTACTAAACATAAACCATATTTACCATAAACATATTTACCATATAAACCATATTAACTGCGAACCATACTATAAACCATAACTATAACTATAACTATACTATATAAACCATACTATAACTATAAACCATATTTACTGCGAACCATAAAAATGTACCGGGACAAGGTAGCAAGAATCCATGAAATTTGATCCTCGACGCCAACGGGACCATGGGTTGCAGGGGGATTGGGTGGGGAATGTAAAGCAAAATGAGAACATGGCAGCTAAATAAAAGCTCACTATATGGCACCTATATATGGCATGGAACATGGATGCCAATGAGATGCTGGGTTGAAGGGGATATAGGGTGGGGAGGTTAGGTTAGGTTAGGTTAGGTTAGGTTAGGTTAGGTTAGGTTAGGTTAGGTTAGGTTAGGTTAGGTTAGGTTAGGTTAGGTTAGGTTAGGTTAGGTTAGGTTAGGTTAGGTTAGGTTAGGTTTGGTTAGGTTAGGTTAGGTCAGGTCAGGTCAGGTCAGGCTAGCTTAGCTTAGCTTAGCTTAGGTTCTGGTCTACTCTCAGTTAGGTTAGGTTAGGTTAGGTTAGGTTAGGTTAGGTTAGGTTAGGTTAGGTTAGGTTAGGTTAGGATATGTTCTGGACTATTCTGGCCTGTGTGTTTCATAAATGTACCTAAACTTGATAAGAAACGATTTTGGTTGCTTTATTATTGTTACCTTGGTCCCATACATGTTTTATGGTTCTTGATAAGCAGAAATATTGTGCTTTCGCAACAACGTAGAAACGGCGCTTGGAAGTCGAGGCAGTGCGGTGCGGGGCGTGCGGCGCTCGGGAGCTCGCTATCGTATTTATTAAAATTCGAGGGTAGGAGCATGATTTTATCTGTTTTGAAATTATTTACGATATGTTCCGCCTTAAACACGACGAATGGTTTACCTTGGTCCCGTACATTTTGTAGAGTTCTTGGTAAGCAGAAATATTGTATTTACGCAACGGCAACGCAGAAATGGCGCTGGGGAGTCCAGGCGGTGCGGTGCGCGCGGCGCTCGGGAGCTCGCCATCGAAGTTATCGAAATTCAAAGGTAGGAGCATGATTCTACCTGTCTTGAGATGATTTACAATATGTGCCGCCTTGAACACGACGAATGGTGTGCAATGATTTTTTCTAACGTTAGGTAGGAAAGTACACCTACACCGCATGTACACATTGTGTGCAATAACAGTTATTCTTTAGGAGGTAAGATGATGCAATCAACATTGACCTGTTCACAGAGCTGGGACAAAATCTACCAGCAATAGAAATGTACCATCATATCTCAGATGACCAATGTGATTTCAAGATCCAAAACAATAATCACGATACCAGTAATGCACACATGATAACCAGTGCTGCACAGCGCACGCAGCAAAACTAATGGCATATGAAAGAGTACTGTGATGTACACAGACTTACAATGCCAACTGAAGCACCCAATGACACACCTGGCTGACTTACCTGTGTTACGTCCTTGTCCTAGAAATGTTCCGGACCGGACAATTCTGAAGTGCCAACTGGATTCTAATCAACAACACTCAAGGTGCCCTTCCAACCATCGATACCGCCACACATGAATCCGAAACGCTCTGAAACAGTACTTCATCCGTCTGTCTCATGCGCGCAGTAAATGACATTGTCCTGTTATGTTTTGCAGCTACCAGATGTAAGAGCATAAATTCTCCCTAGAGGCTCGAAACGTTAAAAAAAAAACAGGTCGGGCAAGCAAGGACACTTGTGTGCCCTTCGTGTGCTTATATTGCAAATGACTTGAGCGAAGCTTTGCAATGAAGCATGCATGTGGAACTGAGCATCTAGAAAATCACATAACCGCACACACTGGCCAACGAACCGCTCGATGTCGTACCAAGATCCGAATTGATACATAATGTCCCCACACAGACGCATGTGTATAAGAAGTCGTCGAGCATTTGATAGTCCCATGCACACTTCTACTCAGCCCGGGCTCAAAGCCTACAACGGGATGACACATTTTTGTGATCCAATATCGAGTAGATCCCTCCAAAAAAAATTCGGTCTGGGTGAAGTCAACCTTGCTAGCTTCAGTTGGTGATTGCGGTGTCCTGCACAAACTACACGTAGCACACATTCGTATTCTCACGAATCTTTATATGCAAGACTGAAGCCAGCATATGGTCTCGTATGGATAAAGTATGTGGCCCATACGTGTGCTCGTAAATATATGTTGATAGATGCCTGTTGCTATGGACCAGTCACAAGCACTACGCTGGCTTTTACGGACCTACAGAACAGTTTACTTGAAGAACTTTTGCCATCGGATTCGACTCTATCAGATCGACTCCGTAATCGGGCCATGTCTGCTAGATCTGGAATCAGAACGGACTTCTAGTTTCACTGCGTTGGTCGGAGTCAGAATCGGAACCAATCCCGCGCGCTGCACGCCGAGAACGGAATCAGCCTTGTAGAAGCGGAACCGAGCACAATGGTCCCTCCAAGATGCCACGAATAGTTGCTTTTCATGTATCGCCTAGGGATTAGCAGCACCTGCTGCGCATTTGTCCCAAATGTATCGGGTCCGCCACCCAAACCTTCACGCGCGCAGGCGTGCATGTGACAAGCAGTTGGAAGAACAAATGCATGTACACATGTTCGTCAACATGTCCCTAAAGCAAGCTCCATGGGACCGGAGCACCCATCACACACTCCAAAAGCCAACATGATCATGTGCTGCATCTTCAACACATGAAGTATATTCCACAAGTACAACAACGTCCGAATGCACAAGATGAGTGGTTGTCCGAATGCACACATGAGAGCTGGCAATGCTATTCACATTCAGGAGAACGATCTTCACTGCAAGGCCCTTGCAACGTCACAAATCCTACAGGCGCTCGAATCAACGCTGGTCCGTAACAAGGTAGGTGAGGAGAGCCAGTGCAGTGCAGACCTACCACGAGCTATCACACCGACCCAGTGTCGCTCTCTGCGCCTGGAGCCATGTTCTTCTTGCATCACGCCTTTCGACGCGCGAAAACCCGGTCCACCGAGCCGATGTCAGAGCGGCTGCGGTGGCGGTGCCGGTGGCGCCAGTCGGCCGCGCAGTTCGGACCACCTCCCGCCAGGCGGCGGCCGTGTCGGTCTCGGAGGCCACCAGCCGCTCGAGCAGTACACGCAGCCGCTCGTGGGCCCCGCTCTGGGCGGCGAGCGCGGCGGCCATGGCGGCGTTATCGGCGCGGGCGGCGCTCTGGGACTGGGCGGCGGCGCCCGGCAGCAGCAGGCCCAGCGAGGAGAAGGGCGCGGCGCGGTACTCGCCGCCGCCGCTCTCGCCCACGTTGGCCACCTCCAGCCGCACCGGGGTCAGCCGACTGTCGCGCAAGGTCACGGGTCAGCCGACAGGGTCAGAGGTCATTCGTGTGGGTCAGAGTGGGGCTCCGGGCGACAAAACAGGGGTCCAGTGGAATACAGACCGTGGATCATGCTGAAGTGTGTACGCAGAGTAGCTTTTCGGCGCATCTCTCAGCACACGTCACTTCGCCATCCACGACTGCTCTCGAAGAGAGCGGGCGAGGTCACGCATCACCAGCTCAAGGGAGGTCACAAAAGCTTTCAGCTCAAGAATATTGGCGGTGGGTTTCATTTTATGAGTCTGTCTGATGTTTCCCGAGACACGCAGCAGCGCGCACGAGCCGAGGAGGTTCTCAAGTAACTGTCCCAACTTCTTGACCACCTCAAACTAGCCCAAAAGAGAACTGAAAAGGCACTTCCCCTCATGCTGCATGACAAAATGGATTGCATTCCCGATTCAAAACTGCGTTTCGAGCTTTCCGCACTTCTGATGGCCTAATCTGAAGGGCAAAGTTGCATATGACCGTGAGACGGTCTGCACTATCGCATCGAAAACTGCTGATTGACGTTCTGATCGTCATCTGACACAGAGTGAAATTAGGAATGGATTTTTAATATCTAACAAGAATTTAACACTTCAAAGCAAATCAGATAATTTGGAAGCCATATATTTTGCATTTGTCTGAAACTAATCAAACGTATCGACGAGGCGAGCAGAGCGGCATTCGTATCATGCAAATCAAACCATTCAGACCAGGGGTGTAGTTCGTTATTCACTTGTTGGACCCCAGCCCAGAGGTGTGGATTCAAATTCAGTTTAGGTGAGAGGTCAGCGCCCTCCGCCTCCAAAGAAAAAATTGTAAGAGAGTGGGCTAAATCAGGAGAAACACGTTCGCTGGAGCATTGAGGGGCCAGTTTGTGTCTATTTTGCACCGCTCAGCTCCTCTCCCCGAGTCATCTTGTGAGGCTACACCCCTGGCCCAGCCCTCCTACTTTACAGTGGGCCGATTTCGGTGAAAACCCGCTTTTGGGAGTACTTTGGGCGCATATTCAGCCATTTCACCCGCTCAACCCCCTCAACTATACTCTGCACTACTTCACCCATGAGTCGGACGGCAACGCCCGTGGCTCATGGGCGCCCGGAGCCGGCCAAGGCGCCCCTCCCTCCCCCGTTTCCAATGTCAGCCATCTTCAGTGAAAGCGCTGACTGCCGTACAACGAACACCTGACGCAGGGCCCACCTGTCCCTTGTGACGAGCGCTACTTGGTCGTGTTGCACCACATCATCCACCAGGTTCTCCGCCATCAGGAGGAAGAGGAAGCTGGCGCCGTCGCCGTTGCCGCACCGTTGACTCAGCTGCCGGTGGAGGACGCGCTCCCGCAGACTGGGCCGGGCCGGCGCGCGCCGCCGAAACCGGTACCAGCCCACCACCGGGACCGGACCCTGCTGGAACCCATCTGGGTGTCAGTGGCATAGAAACCGGTACCAGCCCACCACCGGGACCGGACCCTGCTGGGACCCATCTGGGTGTCACTGGCATAGAAATCGGTACCAGCCCACCACCGGGACCGGACCCTGCTGGAACCCATCTGGGTGTCACTGGCATAGAAATCGGTACCAGCCCACCACCGGGACCGGACCCTGCTGGAACCCATCTGGGTGTCACTGGCATAGAAATCGGTACCAGCCCACCACCGGGACCGGACCCTGCTGGAGACCCATCTGGGTGTCACTGGCATAGAAATCCGGTACCAGCCCACCACCGGGACCGGACCCTGCTGGGACCCATCTGGGTGTCACTGGCATAGAAACCGGCACCAGCCGACCACCGGACCCTGCTGGAACCCAGCGGGATGTCACTGGGATGGAAACCGATGCCAGCCGACCACCGAAACCCGCTGGAACACATCGGGTTGCCATTGGAATTAAAACGGATGTCAGCCGACCACCGGAACCCGCTGGAACACATCGGGTATCATGACATAGAAACCGGTGTCAGCCGACCACTGGACCCTGTTCGAACTTATCTGGGCGTGCTCATGAAGGGGGAGCCGGCACCAGCCGAGTACCGAACTCCGTCGGGACCCGACGGGCGTCAACACGGGAGGGAACAGTCGCAGTCATAAACATCATACTTGGGCTGATAATTTCGGCAAATGTGTTAGGCCTAACACCTTGGTTCGACGCCACGATACTGCCTAACCTGATCATTCTCGAAGAGGGCGGTCAACTTGTCCGGTTCCAGCCGGCCAGCACCCGTATAGAACTCGCCTACACGGCCAGAAGACCAGAAGTCGGTCAGGACTGCAAACACAGAAGATGCATCAGATGGCAGAAAGGCATCTAGGTGGGCATCAGCAAATATTTCAATTGATTGTGAATACCCTGTTCAGCAAGAAATCGATTGAAATGTTAGTGGTTATGTACACAAGATAATGCACATATTAATATCAGCCAGGAGCACATGTCACAGGCATCACTTGTCCATTTCTGCGTTGCGCCGTGAAAGCACATGTGGCATCATACTTGAAGTGTGCGACAAGGCGCTGTCATAAGCATAAGTGAGGACAGCTTACAGTTATTAGTCCCGGAGTAGAGAATAGCGTTGGTAGAGAAAAAAACCGTAACAGCAGCTTCCAAGCGATCCCAATCGTCATTCTCGTGGCTTAACGGCAGATTGGTGTAATATATTTTTACGGATTTCCTCCGAACCTTTGAATGGATGGATTTCTGGGGTCGGCGCCCCCGCCAAGCAGTGCTTGTTGCGTAAGCCCTGCCCCCTCCGCCCACCACCTGATCGTGAAATGCCAGGTCAACGACAGGCTTTGGTCGCAGAATTGAATGTGACGCGCCGCAGGCAATACCAGTCAATGGCAGATAGCGAACGTCTAAAGTGATTTGAACCAACCTCGCTACGAGTGGGTGAACCGGAAAGAAAACACTCCAACCAACCAAACTATCGGAACAGACAAGCGTTCTAACACCCAACAGCGTCAAAATCCCTGGTGGTGTGGTTTCGCTGCTCCCTATCCTGCATTTTGGTACTTCTTGTAGATTGCCGAAAAACACGCCCCCGTTTTCGGTGATTTACTGCAGTTTAATGTGCGGAATAAAAACACCGCATATTCACAATCATGGCTGCATCTAGACAGTCTAGACAGTCATCTAGACAGTCATCTTGACAGACAGTCAGTCATGACTGCATCTGCATCTAGACAGTGGCTGCGATGCATGTTGTAAAAGAAGTGTCCAGCATTGCCCCTCTTACTGCAGCATACTCAGGTTGCAAAGAATTTGTTCGTAGAGCGTGAGCTCAGTTGGAAGCACGCATGTGCAGATGCTCATAACCCATACGATTGTAGAGCGCGAGTTCAGGTGGGAGCAGGCATGTGCAGATGCTCACAACCCATACGATTATAGAGCGTGAGTTCAGGTGGGAGCAGGCATGTGCAGATACTCACACCCCATGCGATTGTAATGTACGAGTTTAACCCGGTGATTGCTGGTGGCTACATTTGTAGCACGCACGTGCTGGCCTAGTCGTGGAAGTGTGGTCATAATGAATAATACATGGGCGGCGACGGAAAATAGGAAGGTAAAGGAGCGATTTTTAAAACCGGGCCTGAATCATACAAGTTCAGCATCAGTCCCAAGACGCTGGAGTATCACTGATGAAATCGAAACTTTTGCATCCAGTACAAGATTCCTATAAAACGTCATGTGTGTCTGTGTTGTTGGCATGTAGCAAAGTACTGTTGCTTAGCAGTGGAGTGGGTCAGATTTTTCGATCCGACTTTGCTCTACACTTTCATACATGCTGAACACACATATTCATGACACATCCAGTGCAAGTTCCAGCAGCAGATTAGTAAGTTAGCTTATTAGTTGCCATATATAAGGAATGTATTTGTACAATATTTTTGAGACATCCACTTATGAAGTTTAAAAAAGCTACAACACCATTTTTTTGTAATTTTGCCTACCACATAACAGTTAACAATATTCCAAGAATTTTAGTACAAAACAAAATATTTAAGCCAGCAGGAGGTATTCAAAATTAAGTGTAGCCTGCTGCCTGACTCTCCCACTGTGCTTTTCAAGCTGGGAAGTCAAGCTTATGAAATCTTACATAAAGGGGAAACAGATATATCTAAAAGTAGCTTTATTGGTTTACTGCAAGCCACATTCCTTAGACACAAACCCAGACCTTTAGGTTAATGCGTTACATAACGTAACTGGGATAATAACACTAACATTTAGGGCTGCTGGGCCCATCAATTTCAGGTTTGGGTTGTGCCACAACCTCTTAGCACACTTGTCATATGAATTATCACAAACATGGTGACTTTATTGCATGGGTTCATGGGTATCAAGGCAATACAGTGACAACAATGTTCTTTCTCTCTGGACTAATGACCAGTGGCCAAAGAAAAAATAGAGCTTAGTATGCATAGGAACTTAATTGAAACTGGTGCTTCCATTGTTCACACAAATCCCATGCCATGCAGTTATGCTTTGCCCTAGAATACACAACAAAATCATTTCCACAATGTAGGCACAGTTATCATGGACAAAAGACCACTTAATTGTCAGCACTGAAGCCTTGAAAAAATGGGTGTAAGCTATAATTTTTCCACAGAGCATTTTCCCACCACCCCGCACATCACTAACCAATTCGCTTCTGCTGACATGGAACATTGCTATGGTAATCATTGTTCACCTGCACCTCCTCCACTGTTGACTTCCCCAATAGGAAACCCTCCTGAAACACAAATTATATCAATTCCTTGTGGCCAAACATGCTCTGCATGCCAACACTAGAAACTGCAGGACCTATGCATGTGGAGCTCAGATACAAAGCAATCTAAAAACACAAGTTTAAGCCATGAATTTGATGCATATATTACAGAGTCTTTCAATATGCAGCTATCAGCTTTGATATACAATTGTTGGAGATCGTCTTATCGAGTGCATGACCAGAATGTTAAAGCATTAAATAACTATACATTTCAAGAAATCTCTAAAAAGTCTGAAACCTAATTTTTTTAGAAAAATGCAATAAAACAATAATGATCTAAAATTGAATTCAGTTGAACTATGTTCAACATTTTCCAAGCTCACAGCATACTTTTAGGAATATGCACAGATCTAGTCACAATCTTACTGTTCACATCACATAAGGTTAGGCATATGGGAAAAAATGCAGCACAATGTAGTTCACATAAACTTTTCCATCAAAAATCATTTTAAGCCATAGCATTCAGGAGAGATACATTCACAGAAGTGTGTCTGTGGCTGAGTATACTTTAAGTACTTGCCTTCTCACCACCAGGCTGTAAGTTCTCATGTATGAGGCTTGACAGCACTGTTCCTGTCATGGTTATCGTTATATCATGAAAATCATTCAAATCCATTGCAGTTACTTCAATCAGCCACGGGACAACAGTTCTTCTATTTCTGCCCGTCTCACTGCGTTGATGCTGATGAAGTCAATTCAGACCTGAAAAGCACCTGGCAGACCTCATCAAGTAACGTAAAGTGGTACCGCCTGTGTCCCAGCTTTTGCTTCTTGACACCGAAATAAAATATCCTGGCAGGTCTAACATTTCAAACACGCGCTTAATGCGATGACGCGCGCGGTAGGATCGCGCATTCCAATTTGCACGCAACTTCCAACTTCACCCACTGGTATTGTCAACGCTGCGGCAGAACTGGCTATGAGACATCAAAGCTCAATGTTACCATATAACAGAAAACTTAGCAGTTTTATGTTGGTGATTGCGAGGCCCCAGAGCCGGTAAGTGAACGTTGAAACTGCGGGAATGCAGGCATCAGACCCCCGGCTCTATGCTCTGAAGAAGTTACGGGGCGTGGGGGGCGTCATTTGCGCACGGATGGATCCAGAATCGCGGTCAAGGGAGGGACCACCCTCCATTGTGATGTCCCTTGGAACTCCTTGCCCCCCCCCCCCCCACACACACACAAAGAAGTCTCCGGGATTTCAGACACTTTATCTTCAGATGCTGATTTTCAGTCAGTCAAACATCGTACGATGGAATGGTCCGCCGGACTTGGTTTACTTTGTTTCCAGATATCAATTTCCTTTTATTTGCATGCTAAAGTTGAACATTTGGAGCCGTTTTTGGTGCCCCTGAGCTTTCGGTGCGTCTTGAAAATAAAGGTTATGTGCACCCAAAATGAAGATTCGGTGTCCCTTCGGCTCAAGGACAGGGAGGGGCATGACCCCTTCCTGTAGATCCACCACTGTATTCTCGTCTGTCATATAAGTGACCGCGACATTAAAGGCAGCGTGGCATTTTGTGTGCTTTTCATTTAAAGTTCGTCCGATTCACTTACATTCCGTCCTAATCCGTTCCTGTACACAGCAACCCCCATGCCAGTCTCAATTTACCTACCGCTATTAAGCAAGGCTAATTTCTGGTGTTTCGATCTTTTCAACACGCACATGCACCCCAGCATTTGTCTCAAAGTTACATTGAACACCTACGATCGGTGAATAAACCAACGCGGGCGTGCCATCCCCATTTTTACGATCGCTTCACATGTTCGGCTTTCTTAAACGCAGCGCAAGTAGGGGATGGGGCAGAGCTCATAAATGTTCATCGAAAACGGAGTTCGTTCACAGAGATAAGACAACAGCAATAGCCTTGTTCCTCAGAGAAAAAAAAACAGGAGAATGGAGATATAGATGGGTTGATATTTCGGAAAAATGCCTTTATGGAAACAATAACAGAAGTGACTTCAAAATTTGCATGTTCGTTTGCATGTACCCGTATTTTCGCGTATTTTAATTCTTAGATATGCAATGTGTTGTGGTAATGGCTGGCAATCGCTCTTTATTCAATTCCCTGGATGTTGGTGTCCTGTAAAAACCGTGGCTTGCTGTTTCCGAAAAACAACTAAAAAATCGAGTAGGATCTTCGACCGACAATTTGTAATTCACTTCTGCTTTGTCTCGATAACGGCATGTAGTCGAAATATCAACCCATCTATATTTTCATTCCCCTGTTTTTTCCCCGAGGAATAAGGCTATTACTATCGTCCTATCCTATGCGAATGATGCCCCCCGCAAGTGCACTGAACAACTTACGTAATTTCGAAAATGGAGCTTAGTACAACGCAGGCGTGCACAGCTTCCTGTGTGCCCTAAAATGTAATTGTGCGCTCTCGGTGTTTTTTACGTGTTCACCTGAAGCTTTCACTGTCCATATTTCAGCACGCACATGTCAATGCATGACAAAAATTTGGATAAAGGGAGGCACGCGATTCCGGGGCCTCTATATGCGTACGCCCCCGTCTCTGTGCGCAGTGACTGACGCATTCCTCTAGCGATCCAGGCCTACGCCGCCGACTCCATCGCGGCAGAAACAATTGCATTAACACGTCACTTGCTGATGATGCGTGCTGAATGAAGGGCCAGACGACATCTTTTGTGTACTTTTAAGGCTGTGCAGTGCGGACTGGCAACACTGGAATGCATTGTCAACGAAACGATCCCAACCTTTCATAAAAGAGCGTGCAAATGCATTTGTGTTAAATCCAAACGACGGCCTGTGCCCGGTTATCGGTTGTTTATCACTGAGGTGCTTTCGATATCGCACAGCTGCAGTTGTATCCACGATTCACAGTCTGTCGCATACTCCCTGTCGCAATGTTTACAATAGCGTCAAATATCGTGAAGTAAGTTATCTACACCTACAAACCCCACGATGGTTCTCGATATACGCTCCCACATTTCGTGCTCCGGCGTTGTTCACATGAATCGGCGTCCCACTCATAGCGGTCCCAATATTCGTGATTGCTCGCAAACAACAAATAAATCGCAACAAGGTGAATATCTTCTCAAGGGCTTGGCTACCGCTAAACTTGTTTCACCACCTATACGGTAATCGTAATCCGATGGGCTTATAAACGGATCTTCCCATTTGCGCAAGGAGCTAACCAGTCCCCGAGCCGAGGGTCAGCGCGCACGTGCACGCCTCACGCTCGTACGTGCGTGCTGTGGAAATATCGGGGTCTTGCTGTTATGACCCTCTGTTTAACCTGCACACGGTCAGCAAGCGAAAGAAGACGAAACAAAAATGCAGACAGATATACAGACATACACATCTTCTTGTGGAGAACGTGTTGTGTGACAGTATCGCTTAAGCAAGGAACCAGTTCAAAGACGCACACACCTCCACATTGCAGCCGATCTCATTTTGCAATCAGTTTGCAGACTCTAATCTTAATTCCAACGAAGCTCACTTGGTTCTGCCCAGAAAAAACATCATAGCAAGCAGTCACGTCTGTGCGACTAGCAACTCCTCCAGATAGATCAGGGACCGGACGCTATTTTTGTGGAACGTTATGCTTAACACAGCCCAAACACAGCAAACGGTGGTTTGGCCCACTGCAACCAGTGCGTAACCACGGAGAAAGGGGATGGTTGAAAAACTGTGCACAAAAATCTGTAACATAATGTACGGAAGCTCTTAATCTTTTGCGGCAAACTTGCGCCCAAATCGTTCACCAGGAACTTCACGGTCGGCTGATGGAGGTCAGCGCTCACGCACAAGTTTTTCTTAGCGTGGGTGCGAGAGATAGAGAGAGAGAGAGAGAGAGAGAGAGAGAGAGAGAGAGAGAGAGAGAGAGAGAGAGAGAGAGAGAGAGAGAGAGAGAGGAGAGAGAGAGAGAGAGAGAGAGAGAGAGAGAGAGAGAGAGAGAGAGAGAGAGAGAGAGAGAGAGAGATAGAGAGAGGAGAGGATAGAGAGAGAGAGAGAGAGAGAGATAGAGAAGAGAGATGAGAGAGAGAGAGAGATCTCGAGGAGAGAGAGAGAGATAGGAGAGAGATCGACGGGACTAGCGATCTCTCTCATCTCCTAGCTGCTCTCTCAGAGCTCAGAGAGTCTGCTCCTCTCGATATCTCTCGAGACATCTCGTCTTCGATCTCTCTCTCCTCTCTCTCTCTCTCTATCTCGCCCTCTCATCTCCTCTCCGCGCTCTCTCTGCGCTCCGAGAGAGAGAAACGGAAGGAGGAGGAGCGGAGAGCGGAGGAGGGAGAGATGGGACACGTTGCATGGTTCCATGGTTTTGCGTGTCTGGGAACGAGTGCGCACATGTGAGTGCTTAGACGTTTCGTAATACGCACGAAGGTTCACCGAAAACGTCACCTCTGCCGCATTCGCACAACAGACACCGTCCTTCTCTGCCTTGCGGCCGTCCTGCGCCCTGCGTGACATGAGTTCGACGTTTCGATGGTGCCATCATACCCAAGTATCCAGGCATGAGCTGCGTGCAAAAAGTGCCAACACTCTGGCGCAGCACATACTGCGGTCCGCTCTTGACGCCCTGTCCTGCTCACGTTTAAAGGTGCAGTGCGTGCGAGGCTGCATTTTGTGCAGACACTATACGTAGCAATGATTAGTGGTGAGATTTGCTGGTCATGCGGCCACTTTGTCCCGGGTCATAGTGCATTGCTTAACCTTCGCCAGCTCCGACTGCCCCACCACCTCACGCACTGCAGGGAGCACGACTCCAGTTGTCGATTTCAGGCCCGATGTGGTGAGATAAAAATGGAAAAATCGTGACAAAAAGCACGTGTAAGATAGGCATGATACGCAAGATGCGCCATCCATCCTACCCTGACCAACGTCTGATGACGAAATGGCCTACCATCTCCTTAGCCCGGTACTGACTGGGAAGTTCTGCCGCCCTCCCCCTCCTGGAGGGGAAGGGCAGGAGTTAGCCATTATCCACAAGGATCTGTAGATATAATCGTTGGATCTAAAAAATTAAAATGCAAGGAATAGGCACGATCATTTTTACAATGCAGTCGACAGCCCTGGTCAATTTCACTCCAGAATCGTTGAGTGACTTATGAAACACTTCCCCTACGAAAAATTATGTAAAAAATTACGCGAGATATCTTACAAATGGCCGAAATTTGTAATGGGATTCAGCGTCGTCAAGAATCTGTGATAATGCCGGCATATCTTGCAAGCGAGGGCCAAACGAAAGAAATTATGTTATCAAAGGTCAAAGGTCAAGATCAGCTCAGGTAACGGCAATTAATGCCAAAGGACAGTGTAGTGCACGCGCACTATCGACCGTATCGTGGTGTGTTCGGGATGGGCTTGCCCCTGCGCGGGCCTATGATACTGTGCCGGCGGACGCGCGGTTGGCGGTTTGAAGTCGAGCGCGGTCGCTGACCCGGGTGGCCCGGCAGTGCGTTTTAAGGCTCAGTGCAGCGAGGTCATGTTGCCCTGGCATTTACAAACGGTCAGATCACGTCATCGGATGGGACTTATAGCAAATCACTTAAGTTGGACACATGCAACTCAGCATACCATTGCTCTTATTGACGTTCTGGTGTGGCTAAGTGTAGTATCATTAACATGCCTATATAGTATGCCTAAATTTTCATCTGATCTGTTTAATTAAACAAAAAACAAAATATTCGGGCTGTAAGGGTTGCCTCCCCCGCCCTGAGCCGGTAAATCTAGGTTGAGTACGCAAACATAATCTGACTAGATGATCGGAAGTTCAGGTTCTGAGTTCACATTGACAACACGTGACAACGACACAATGACAATGACAAATCACAATAACACAAGACATCACAATCGGCTAAAGCCTTCCTTA